AACTTGCGACCTTTTGTAAAAAATCTACACAATTAAACATTACAAGGCGTTTTGGAGAGTCAAAGTGATTCGATGGACGCCATATTTTGTGTCAGAACGGCATGCCATATATCGCATCTATTGGTTCCATTTTTTCAGCTACTCGTCATATTTCTCGAATTTTGAGATCGCAATTCTGTTGTTGGGAGACTAAAGCACTCACTTACAAATTTTAACAAAGAAATTCAATGTATAATAAAGGCGTGGTTTTTTCAGAGAGAAAATATCGCATTCGAGTGCAGTTTCGATATCAGTATCGAATGCGATGTTTTCTCTCTAAAATAAACGCCTTTATTACGTTGAATTTGTTTTTAAAAATTGGTAAATGAGTGCTTTAGTCTCCTGACAACAGGATTGTGATCTCAAAATTCGAGAAAAATGATTAGTAACTAAAAAAATAGAGCCAATCGATGAGCTATATCGCACGTCGTTCTGACAAAAAATGTGGCGTCCTTCGATCCTTCGAATCACCTTAAAGATATCATTGCGTGACGTATACGCACTTATCAACTTGCAAAAAGGCGAAACAGCAAATGTAAACCAATAATGTTGTGTGGTATACTGTAGGAAATATGATGGACTAGCATGCAAGTGTCTAGGTGATAAAAATTTATTTTCAGTTTTCCGAAAACATCAATCGACACATACTCTGTGAGAAATGAAAAGTATAATTTCCTCTTTTCTTTTTCTCCGTATTTGAGACCAAATACTCTGAAATCCAAACTTTTTAACATCAGTATCCCAGAGTTGAAAGGCACCTAACTCCATATTGGTCATTCCGAGATATCTGAGAAAAACTGTGCGTCGGACTCATTAGTTTCGATGTAAATCGCAATTTTTGAATCGGATCTCATAACCGGCGTGAGATAGGGCTACCAAATTTTTCACACACACGGAACCGTCATTGGAGATCAGTGGCGTGGCGTGAATTGCGATGTATCGATTGCCATGCCATCTAAACCTATTCAAAGGGATCGATAAACAGGGTGTTCGCAGCGAACACCTTAATAATCGATTCTTTACCGTAGGTTTAAATGGCATAACAATCGATATACCGCAATTCACGCCACGCCACTGATCTCCAAAGCGACACTAACTCGATTTTTTCAAAAGAGGTACCTGAGTGAGTTAGGTACCTTTTGACTCTGTGGGGCACTGATACTATCTTACGAGTACACCTAGATTTGAATCACGTGCACACACTGCAAAGAAAAAGTTGAGGCCTCCTCTTGCTGACTCTAGTTGGTGCTACGCATCAAAATGATGTTTCCTACCAACTATTTGCTTCTAGACATTTATTTAACTCCATACCCTGGTGAAAATTGGCAGTAAAATCTGTGTTCCAAAATACCATAGACCTACGGCCGGCTATAAGATTTCCAATAGCTTCTATAGCCGGATACACAATTTCTAAGAGCCTTTTAAAGCCGATGGCGATTAAGCAACTCACAGCCAGGCGATGAAGTGTATGCTAAACGTCACTAATTACGGATGCTAGGACTTGGTGAGTTTTTGGACCACTGCTCTCTTTTTGGGCCGTAGTATCTTCATTTATTTTGCGAGGAAAGCTCCGTACTTTTGATGGATGCCTGCCATTCCTAATATATTAGAGTGCCTTCAGTTTCATATGATACTGTGCAATACCTCTGGTGTGAAATAGTTGCTTCAAGCGCCGTGGCACGCTGCGGTGCGGCAGGCGGGCAGCCAGCCCGCCGCACCGCATTGGCGCATTGGCGCCTACAAACCTAACAGGGATACTTCACGCGTTGCGCAATGCGTGAAGTATCCCTGTTAGGTTTGTAGGCGCCAGTGCGTCGCCGCTCTGCTTTGTGTTAGGCTCTAATATTTAACCTGGCGGAGTCAGCGTTTTTCAACCCATGACTTTGAAATGTTTGCACACTCTGAATGGATTATTCTCATTTTAATTGATGAAAAAAAATATGTATTAAAGGAAAATATAACGTGTGTTTCGTAAATATTGAGGTGGTTCCGTATCAAACTTAATGATTTCCAAAGCACACGAATTTCTACACAATTTCTTATAGCCTTTTATAATCGATGGCGAAAAAGCAACAGCCAGGCGATAAAGTGTAAAGCCCGGCTATAGGAACTATAGCCTGGCTGCATAATTTTTTATCGCTCCGCATAGCCCGGCCGTATGATTTTCTCCGCATTCTACAGCCAGCTATATGATTTTCTGTAGCCTCCTTTAGCCGGCTATAAGAATTCCTATGGTATTTTGAAACGCAGCTCTTATCGCCAATGTTTACCAGGGTATCATCAACGTTAGTGCAATGAACCAATTTTTTTGATGCACTTACAACATTAGTATTGCCGATGCGCAGCGCCAACTGAGTTATAGCCGGGTCAAATTTCCACTGGTGCAGAACACCAACTTTTTACTTAGTGAATTTAGTCCAGATAAATTGGGGAAAAGAGGCAGAATGCAATGCTTTTTTATGTAATATCTGCTCGCGAGGCTTTTGGAATGTTTCCTCACTTAATTGGACGTATCTCTATCAAACGGAACTATGTGCATTGAGACATGAGCCCTGAGATTATGAGAATAGATGCATAACAGGGCTCACGTCATAATGCACATAGTTCCGTTTGACAGAAATACATCCAATTAGCGGAGCTATCATTGAAAAGTTGCGCGGGACAAGAAATTCTTAGTTTCACAGGGGGAAAATTCTTGGGATCCTGAGAATTGGTTTCTGAAATCATTCCTGCAATCCTAGCAAAATATACAAATTGTCGGATCAAGCTCTGTCTGGAGCCAATTAAGTCTTGTTCTGAGAAAAGGTTTATATAAAATTGAAAATTGCACAGAACCTTAAAACCTAAAAAACTGAAGTGACAAAAAAAAACTGGAAAAAAAACTAAAAATTTCAAATGGCCACCCCCCTCGTAGCCAGTGGTACATTTTGAATAACGCTGTATAACCAAATTGCTTGTTTTTTCCAATGAACCGCTGGATAAGGTACGAATTTAAGCATTCTGATACATGTTGTATAATCAATAATTTACGAAGAACACGATTCTCGCATTGACAATTGCTGAAATCAACTTCTATCCAAGATATAAACGTTTTTATTTTACATTGGTCATGGGGTAATTTAAATTGCCCGGTCACAAGAAACTCAATACTCTACGCGAGTCAAATTGCGCACTACAACGGTTTCGGCAGGCTTCTCAATCCAGCACTGTTCATTCCCCACCCTTTATTCTTCAAAGTGTAAACAATTCGCTGCAGCTGAGCCAAAGCGTCAAGATTAAGGTCTCCAGATTTTTATATCGGAGAGACTACCACAGTGACGTTTGTTGCTAGATTTGAATCACGTAGACCATTGCGTTTTCATAGGCGAGAGGTTTGAATTCACGCGTCCAGAAACATTAAATATCTTAATTAGGAGTCAATGGAGTATTTACACTCAAAAATTGTAATGCTTCATCTGAGAGTGCCTAATGAGCTGCGCTCGCAGTATTTTTCATAATTTTTTTCTGACATGGGAACTTGTGGAAAAAGATTTAAAAGTGAGAAAATTTGCAGCCTTATGACGCCATCTGGCGGCATTTTCCATTTAAACACATGTCTTTTAGCTGATAAAGTTATTTCGTCATATTTTCTCCAATAATTGTCCAATTTAGAGACGAAGGATATCATCGCACTCAGTTTTTCTAGCATTACCATTTTAAAGATGAAATTCACAAAATTTGAGACACCTTCGAATTCTCTATCGCAGTAATTTTTGTCGCACGAATCATGTTCTACGTTAAATTTTGGTTGAAAAAAAAATGTATCAGAACGCTTAACTTCGTGCCTTGTCTATTGGTACATTCTGCCGTGCTAAGGAAGAACGCCGTATGAGCTTTCAGGCGTTTCCAAGTTTCCTTCGATAAAAAACAACTTTACTGAGAAAATTTAGCATATTTTTCCCCAAAATTTTCAGACAATTTTGTGCGCAATTTAATCTAAAATATTTAAAAATTTCAAAGTAAAATGTGCATGATTTTCGTCAAAAATACATGTTTTATTGAAGGAAATTTGGCAACTCTCGGATGTTCATACGGCGTTCTCCCTTTGCACGGCAGCATTATAGCAAGCTGCGACCTCGGGCCTAAAAAATCTGAGCCCGTCAGACCGGGGTTAATAAACGACTGAATACTAGCCGGCTCCAGGAATCAAGAAACACGGTGAAGCATAATTTTTTCCATCTTCTTGTTACAGGTCTCGAGGAGCAATTTCCGGTGTCAAGCACCAAGACGGAACAATTGAACCCGCCGAGAGGACTTCCAGCTTCACAACTTTTACAAGGCGGACCGACAACTTTCCACTTAGGTGACCGTTTCGCGGAAAAAGTGAACCGCTCTCGGGGCGCTATTCTTACGAGTCTCTCGCTGCCCTCGCAAAAGCCTCTTATTAATAGTTAGGCTTTTGCTTCCTTTCGCTCCTCGTAATTGATAAAAAAGTTGACATTTTTCAATCGGGCCCTCATTAGTCTACTTCCGGCCGGCGTCGAATCTAGTCAATTTTCAGGAAAGTTTACGATCGAAAGTTACTTCCGTCCTTTTTTCAGTGTGAATTAATCGTCTCGGACTGAAACTTTGATCATTTGTCCTTTTTCACCTTTTCGGAACGAATGCGTGGTGCCGTAGTGTCGAGAATTGATCGTGGATGAAACTTGTATTTTGCACCCCTCGTTCGGCAACAATCATCTTAAAAACAGTTCTGGATTGAAGAGAAAGCGAACTTTCTGTGGTTGAAATTAATCTAGTCTCAACTTGAAAATACTGAAATACATATAAGTTGTTTTTGAAGATCAGTAATTTCTCATTTAATTCAAAATAAAATTATATCGTGTAACAATTGGATTATTTTTTTCTCAAGAAAGTAATAACAATAAAAAATAAAAAGAACCCGACGGTTGCGATCAAACTCTCTGAATCTTAATCTAGTCAGAATCAAAGTTACCTCGCTCTAGTCTCAATTCTCAAATTAAGGTGGGAACCAAAACTTAAAGTGGTGAAAGCTCATCGTGCGTTCTAAGAAGGAAAAATTTATCAGGTGGACCTCGAAAGGAGTTACGGATTTTCTCGCGGACTTTATGGATCTTACGGAGGTTTGCGGAAAATATTCGTAAGAACCAAGCGGAAAACGATTGAAACCTATCTTGTGGCGAAAGCTTATAGTGCGAGGACGAAAAAAATTATTGCGTAGACTTCGAGAGAAGTTACGGATTTCACGGATCTTGTGAACTTTGCGGATCTTACGGAGGTTTGCGGAAAATATACGTAAGAACCAAGTGAAAAGCGGTTGAGCCAATCGTGTGGTAAAAGCTTACAGTGCGTTTGCGGAAAGAATTATTTTGCGGCCTTGGAAAGGAGTCCCGAATACAACGGATTTTGCGGATTTTGCGGATCTTACGGAGGTTTGCGGAAAATATACGTAAGAACCAAGTGAAAAGCGCTAACCCTATCCTGTGGCGGAAGCTTATAGTGCGTTTGGGGAAAAAAGTATTTTGTGGCGTTGGAAAGAAGTGACGGATTTAACGGATCTTGCGGATTTTGCGGAATGACAGTGCGGCGAGACCCGTGCGTGCGACCGCGGAAGTGCGGAAGTTGATCGGCGGGTGGCGTGGCTGAGTGCCGAGGACGACGACGGCAGGATGACGGAGAAACTTTTGGAAGTGAAACGGAAAGTGAAGAAAAGCGATAGCGATACGAACAACAATTGCAGCGAGGCGAAGATGATCGGGAGCCCGCCGGCGGCGCTGCCCCCCTCGCTGCCCCCGGGGGGCGCCGCGCCCCCCCTCCTCCCCCCCAAGCCGCTCCCCGTGAGCGCCTTCCAAGCCAAATTGACCAAGAGCAATTTCGCCCTACCCACATCCATCATGCTCAAAGACGGCAAGCGGGTGAGTCCTCCCAGCGATTCGCATCTCTCTCTTTTTCTTCTTATTTTTCTTTTTCCACCACCCTTATTTTTTTGTCTTTTTCCGCCCGCCTCGTTTTTTATCCCGGCGTCGTTGAGCGCTTTTATTCTGCGCTTAGCGGTGGCGATGCGGGGCATCTGGCAGGGTTGCGCGGGTGCACTGAAAAAAAAAATCTCGGTGTATTTACTAAGAAAAGGGTAAAATTACCAAGAATTCAGGGTTCTAATTGATCCCAGTTTTTTCTTGGTAAAATTACCATTTATGAAATTGGTAATTTTACCGAGAAATCTCGGTAAAATTATTGAACTTTCTCGGGAATTTGACTGGACCTTGGTAAAAACGCCAATATGTTTTATCGACTGTGGTAGAATTACCGAGATAAAATGGCAAAGTTACCGGGAATTGATTACCAATAAAAGTGGTATTCTTACCTGAAAAAACAGTAGGAATGCCGGTTTTTAGGTAAGCTTACCGGTCTGTCTTTGTAAAATTACCAATGATTGGTAAAAAAAGTGAGATGGTAAAGGTACCAACGGACCGTGGTAAAAACGCCGAGAATTTTTTTTCAGTGTGAAATGAAAAATAAAAATATGAAAAAAACAAGCAGTGAACTCCAACACAATGTGTTGATAAGGCGCGTCATTAACTCGCACATATCAACCCCTTTAGTTTTCATTTACAGAGATTTCAAAATAGGCAAACAGCATAAAAAGAGAATTCACGATCCAACACTGCGAGGTCAAAGACGCACCTTGACGAGACCGTGTATTGTGAAAGTAGAAAGCTATTCGATCGAATTTAAGTTTTTTGATCTGCCTCAAGCAAAATCTTATCAGATTCTTGAAGAAAAGTGCTACGGAATAATTTAAGCGAAGAAAGGAAAAATTCTGTCGAACTCCTAGAAGATAAAGTCGATTTAAAGGTATTTTGGGGCTAAAATACCCAAATCACCGGTAGTAAAAATCCCGTTATATTATTGAAAAGAAATTGACTCGATATAAATGCAATTGCATTAAATACGTCTTGATTTTGTTATTTTAAACGTCTTTCCATGCAAAGAAGTTCAACCATGTCGTTGCTTTATTCATTCATGAATTGAAAGTAAGCAATCTACATCCCGAAAATCTACTGATTTGCCGTAAAAAATTGCAGAAACTTGATATACCAGGTCGATGCACCCACTCGTTGAATTTACCAACCAATTTTGTGAGTGCA